ATATATATATATATATATATATATATATATATATATATCAAAAGTACATCATACCTAGGGTTAAAGTTGTTCAATGAAATTTTTGCTTTTTATACTTGTATGTGTACATAGGGTCATGATGTAAAATAATTTTTTTTGCTATGAATCTCGGTCAAAAAAAATTCTAAAGTCATTGGATGAGATGATCTTTAAGATTCTCTCTAGTACTAAAAAGAATAATCAGAAAAATATTCATTAATAGTTTTACTATTTCTGACAAAAATGTAATTTTCAACATACTTAAAGGTAAAATTTCAATTATTTAGTTCTTGCAACAAATACATAACATAAAATTAAAATGAGAAACAGCTATCAAGATAATGATGCCTATTTTTGAAATGTGAAACACCTAAGAACTAGGTTTCTGTAACGAGATACAACTGGGATATTCTATTTAAGTTGTAGTCTTGTAAGGATCCCTGATGTCATCACATGACATTCAGCTTTCCTAGATGGGCAGCAAAATGATTTGAGAGTAAAACTCAAATGAGAGTCAATGATGTACTTACATTTTCAGTCATTACATTTCTGAAAATATGCCTGGAATTTATAAGTAAAATCTTTCAATAACATATATTTTTTTGTATATATTTGTGGTTTGGGGGGAAGGGGTGAATAAAATATTTCAATGAACCCAACAGATTTTATCTTAGGGATAAAAACCCAAAGTCTTTAATGTAAATAAATAAATTTTATATATATATATATATATATATATATATATATATATATATATATATATATACACACACACACACACACACATATAAAAGTGACTTGTAAGGATTTTAGAAAATACAAGTAATGTGAAAAAAAGAAAATAAAAATCATATTCCCCTATTAAATAACCATTATTTATATTTTGAAGATAAGAAACAAATATTAAGCAACTGGCAAAAACCTGTATCAGAAATAGACTCTCAACTCTGTGCATTAATAGGTAAGTACAATGTATAAAGTTAGTGGAAAACAGTCAAATGCTTCCATTCTAACACAATTTCTGTATTGTGATTTTTCAACACCATTATTTTCAAGATTACAGAGCAAGCCACATTAAAAATTTTCACTCATCTAAGACATTAAGAACCCTTCAACTTGAAGGCATATTTTTAAGCCCATTGATTTTTCCAGGGATTTAGTTTTAAGAAAAGCTTAAACAGACCACCACCACTCTTAAGTGTGGTCCACGAGCCAGTACCCGTTAATAAGATAGGTTCAGAAAATAAGGATGTTTAGAAACTTATTTAGCAATTTGACATTGCTATAAGGTTTTAATTATACTTTACAAAAGTCATCCATCAGTCTGCAATGAACTGGAAATTTACTCAAGCAGTCTTTGACCACATTTATTTTTTAAGAAACAATAAGATAAAAATCAATTTGCCAACTATTTATATTACACTTAGAGCAAGGGTTTTAAAACATTTAGTCTAAGAACTTGGCGAAATCCTTCTCTACCTTCTGGCATAGTAACTTTCTTCCACTGACATTTTCACTGGACCCCCAGCCCCAGCTATCAGAACCAGGGCCTGACTGCTAATTAAAATACACATATAAGCTTTCCTTTGAGAACTGGAAGAGACACTAATGATCTTTCCTAGGGAGGTCAACTACTTTGACATCTGATTTGTTTCAATGTTCCTTCTGCCACACTCAATGCCCAATGCAGTCCACAAGTTTATAGCCTCTCTTGCCTGAGTAAACTCTCTTCTCTCTCCTACCAAGGATCTAAAAAAGTGCTTCTGGATCTTGTCAAGGCTACCTTCTTTCTTTTGGGGGGTGGGTGGGTGGGTACTGGGGATTAAACCTGGGACACTTAACTACTGAGCCACATACCCAGCCCTTTCCATATTTTATTTAGAGACACAGCCTCACTAAGTTGCTTAGAGTCTCACCAAGTTGCTGAAGCTGGTTTTGAGCTCTCAATCCTCCTGCCACAGCCTCCTGACTGGCTGGGATTACAGGCATGCATCACCATGCCTGACTAAAGCTACTTTCACAGATGAACAATATAATTTGTCATCTCAAGACCATATTCTTTTCTTTAATAAACATTTATAACCACTGAACAAAGCATGATTTGTTAAAAAGTACATGGTTTATAAAATGCTAGTTTTATAAAAATTCCAAGGTTAAAAAAAATCTGCCGGGCTGGGGATGTGGCTCAAGCGGTAGCGCGCTCGCCTGGCATACGTGCGGCCCGGGTTCGATCCTCAGCACCACATACAAAACAAAGATGTTGTGTCCGCCGAAAACTAAAAAATAAATATTAAAAATTCTCTCTCTCTCTCTCCCTCCCTCTCTCACTCTATCTTTAAAAAAAAAATCTGCCAATAGAAATCATAACCTATAAGTTTGCTTTCATCTAACGATTAATTTTTTTTAAAAAAAGCTGCATATAATTTGCAGATATTTTTGTTTTTCAAGTCTAATTTGTTTTTCAATTTAGAATCTTACTAATTGAATCATGAATGTTTGTGACATTTTGATTAATAAGAGTGAAACTTTTCATATAATTTAAAATTTGTTTATTCTTTAATTGAAAATATTCAAAGTATAGTTCAGTAAGAAAAACATTAAAGATAAAAGAAAAATATTCCAGTATTCTTACCTTGGATCCTGACAACATACTGGTCAACATTTTTGTTCCCCTTCCAATTCCAACCACTACAAATCAAAGAAAGAAATACTATGACACTCTATTTTGAAAATTAGCTTTTTAGAATACCTACATATTTGGTCCCTAACCTATATAATGTGAAGTTGGACAGCGATACAGTTAACATAATTTGAAAGTATCTATTACTCGGATCAGTTGAACTTCTCATAAAACTAAGGAACTCTGAAGAGAAAATGGGAGAGAGACCCTTTTTTCTCCATTCTCAAAGTATTAAAAACTACAGAAACCTCAACCTAGCCAATTAGATGATGAAGTTTTAGAACAATCTCAAAGGACTCACTGGAATTTTATATGGGCACCAGTGAAAAATACATGTGGCAATTAACCATGTTCAAGTGGTGTGATGAGATCTTGACAGAGTTCATTACTAAACAAAAACAAAAGCCATCATCCTAGCTAATGAACCATTTAAAGATGATTAGTGCCCAGCAGGATACAATCCAGAAAAGAGAAACAAAACAAATCAACCTAACACAAAGAAAACTACAGGCTAAAATGAGGGCTTAGAGAGAGTATTTTAACATAGACCAACTCTAAAGTACAATGGCCTACCTTTCTCTTCAGTTTCAAACACATACTTATAACCACACATTTCATCAGGTGAGACTGAGAGGCTTTAATAATTTCTTCACTTAATAGCAGGCAAAATTCTATAGAATTGGTTTATTTATCATCAATGGACACAACTGTGTATAAGTACACAGTATAACCACACAATTCAGAACTCAGAAGAAACTGCAGAGATGATTAACAAACTAAAAAAACTGTCATCACTATTTGTAGCAGATATCATTCAATGAGTTCATCATATATCAAATACCACTCTGGGTTTCATTCATTGTCTCATTTAATCCTTAAAACGACCCTAAAAAGTTATAATTACCCCCTGTTTTATAGATGAGGAAACTGAGGCACAAAGAGACTAAGAGCTTTGCCCAGCATCTCACAACTAACACTGATGGAGTTAAAATTCAAACCAGACTGGCTTCACCTTTTCATTCCCCTGAATCTTACTGATCCATGCTTGCTTCCCACTGCCACAGGCCTAACCCACTGCAAACATGACTGCTCCATAATCTGTCCCTTCCTTTTCCAATTCATACTATTTTATAACTATTTCTCAAAACCCATTTTGCATACTTCAAAACCCCCAACAACTTAATAACATTCCAATTTTTACAGTACCAACCCCTTAGTATTCAAATCTAACCTTCTAAACCCAGGTAAAGACCCAACTCATTCATAAAGTCACTTCTACACTTCTATGGCACTCATTTCTATTAATTCTTGGTCTCTAAATAGAGTCACATTAGTTCTAGAACTAAGACCAAAAACTGCCCTCCTTTAGTAAACTCTGAAGAACACAATATCCTTCAAATGACAGGATGTGTTGACACTTCTCCCACTGAGGCAAAAACTTTGTACAATAATAACAACAAGGATTCAATGCAATTTGATTCCATTCAAATGAATCCCTAATCAATACTCTTTGAACAGCTACTATGTGCACATTCCCAAGAGGAATATTTCTAAAGGAACAAAAAAAGAAAACTGAGACACATTTCCTGACTTTGAAAGAGTCTATAATCTCAGGGGTAAAACATCATACAGAAGAGGAAAATCACAGTACTCAAGAATTATTGCGTGAATTAATAAGTGAATAAGGCAATATGTGAATATACCATTAAGCATTAAAATGACCACAGAATAACTGAGGCAGGAGGTCAAAGGCAAAAAGCACTCTAAATGCCTGAGACCAGAGAATGCTTCATTCAAGCATTCCAAACAATTCATGTAATAGCATCCCATTGCATCACAAGGGAGAAAGACACTGGTGAAATCCATATGCAGGCTCCCTTATTTCCTCCCTCCTATGAGGGGGACACTTGAGCTTGCTCCTTTTTCCAACAGTGGAAAAAAACAGTAATATATGTGCAATGTTTCTCTCAGAGAAGCTTAACAGCAACTCAGTGCCCAAAGTTTTTATTGGAGGTTTAGGAATGGTCACCCAGACATCCTCTGCTTATCTGCTGGGACAAAATTCCAGATTCTTGGAAGAAAAGTAGATTTTCATGCAAACAGCTTGGCACAGCAAACTGCCCTTATCCTACAGGAAAGGGTGGGAACACTCCTAAAACTTAGGTTTGCAGATGCCAGCCCAAGACAAACCTTATAAGCAGAACTTTCTAAAGATAGCAATTCCAGGCCTGTGGTGGTAACTGTTTTCTGTACAGATACAAAACTTTTCTCAAAGCCTCAATCCACACATGAAAGTATAACTTTCTATACTTTGTCAGGGTTTCTTTAGAAAATAGTACTCTAATCCAGTAGAAGTAAAACATTCCAAATTAGGCTAATACTGGCATGGCTTTAACCAATTAATCTGCATTCAACCAATCTTACTTTTTGATATTAGAGGCAGTTCCATTTAGCTTTCTCATTTCTTACCCAAAACGCCTCGAGCTGCGCTGTCTAGAGTCCCTCCGTGTCCAATTTTCAAAGTCTGCTTTTTCCTCTTGGTCCATTCTGGAGAGGGCATTCCAGCTTCTATGAGAGTAATTGAGATGAACCAAAGTAATTACCAAGATGAGTGAAGTAGAGTTTCTATAAACTTGGGGGAAGACAGGATGATATTCAAAACAAACAACACATTATACAAATTTAACATATTAAGACTATAACATTATCAGCAAAGAACAGTTTTTAAATGTACACACTTCCCTAAATTACAGAAAAAAATATTGTTCCAAAATTAGTTGTCTAGAAACTAGAATTCAAGAAAAAAAAAAAATCAATACTTTAAAAAAATGGGTAAATATCAAAGACAAGCCATAAAAAATCTAGTAAATTCCTGGTAATGTGATCTGTCAGAGAATGATGAAAAGAAGTTAACTTTGATATAGACAACTAGTTTTAAAAGTCCTCAATTTGCATTTCTAACTCTCTTCCATTACCTGGTGTTCTTCACTGGTAGATTAGCCACCTAACATTGTGAGTACATCTCATTCAGGGATACTGCCAAGGACACTGAGATCACAAACTACATTTGTTTGTTTCCCATCTTCTAATTAAAACTCAGTTCCTTAAAGAAAAAAATCTCAACTAAAGGTTATGTGGGAAACAGGTAACAGTTCAGTTGTCTCTTGACCTCTAAAGCACTTAATTTTTTTAAAAAAAACCTGATTTATCTCTCACATGCTTGTCATAAAGATAAAATTAAATAATGTTACCTGACAATGCTTTGGAAAGTACGAAGCACTTAAAAGTTATGCTGCTGCTGTTGATACTTAACAATATATTGAGAGAATACTGGCTACTGATTAAATGAGAAAGGAGAGAACAAGACAGCTATAATGATCTACATCCCACCCCCTCAACCTTTCTAACCCAGGAGACAGAAAACAGCAAAAGGCAAAGAAAGGAAGAGAGAAAAGATGAGGGGAAATCAAAGCAGTAGTAGAAATGGAGAAGCCAGGTAAAACAGCTAATATGATGTGCTGGGTTGCTCAGCCTCACCGCATAATTACCACCCTACTGAGTCAGAACCACGTTATCAGGAACACAGCCCCAGTGTCACTCTCTAATTACAACATCACCATGCTTGGAAGAGCATGGCTGTCTGTTTTGACATAAATTCCTAAGGTTTGGCCTAGCCTTCAAATGCCTCACTTTTCACTTGCAATCTATCATGGAGTAAATCCATCCATGAATTTACTGAAATCTTCGGGGGGTATTTTCAGCTTGATACTTCTTGTGTGAATGCCCTATAAACTTACTGTATCATCTGTAGCTAAATTTACCTCTTTCTAATTTTCAGACATACTATCTCCACCACATTGAAATTTGGCTCAATTTACCGAAACAAATACTCATGGGTGAACATTTGTTAAGGGTTTTTCTAGCTATAAAATTCTGATGTTTCAGGCCTTGAAGGATTCAGACAGAGAACAGTGGGGATTATAGTGTGGTGGGAATCAATATTAAAAAAAAGACATAGGGCTGAGGATGTGGCTCAAGCACTAATGCGCTCGCCTGGCACGTGCGGGGCGCTGTGTTCAATCCTCAGCACCACATAAAAAAATAAAATAAAGATGTTGTGTCCGCCAAAAACTAAAAAAAATAAATATTAAAAAAAGACAAATGATGTTTATTAGAGGCCATGACCATTAACTGCGGTTTTAATTGGTGCTTGTCAAACATGGCCATTATCAGAATGTAGTATCGTAAGGAACCCTCCCAGGTAATTCTGTCAACTAGTCAGAATGGTACTTGGGAAGCCCCAGTCTAGTTAACATAAATAAAAATAGCTCAATCACAAACATTATAGAGATGGATGGCACTGAGAATATCAATATCTGAATGAGTGGTTTCCAGAAAACAACCTAGCCATAGCATTGAAGCAATCAATTTTAACTAAGTTTCAACAAGAACATTCAGTTCTTGGAGGTGGACTAACCATAAGGCCAGAGTATGGCTTTGATCCTGTCAGAAACTTGCTGGAACAAAAGAATGGTAACCATTACCTTAAGGATCAATAAAGCCATAGTTCGGCTAACAAATCAGGCCAAATGAAGGCAGGAACTCTATGAAGGAGAAAAAAAAACTTTAATGATAATACTATGCTTACCCTTGATGCAATTCCTTGCTTCAACATCCCTATATGACCCTTTGTAATAGGCGACAAAAGTACAACAAAACAATGAGTAGGTATAACACTGGAATTCAACTCTGTTAAGTGTACCTGTTAGCCAACAAACATTTAAATCTGTATTGTGCCAGTTACAATTAATTTCCTATCAGAATAATTTGGTTTTGCATTTTTTTAAAAATGTAGTTTGTCAGGGAACACTAAACAATTAAGAAAGTTCCCATTCTGGTTTAATGGCAAGACAGGCTAGGACCAAACCCTGGAAAGCCTCAAATAACCTTAATAGTTTTACCACTAGAGCCTGAAGAGGATATTAGACTGTGAGCTCAGTTACTGGAAGAGATAGTAAGTATGTTTCATCTTCTTGCCTCTTTAAAACAAGACAGATCTAGCTTAGTGTGGGGTCCAATATAACTAAAGTTCTGTTGGGCACAGTGGCACATGCCTGTGATCCCAGGGGTTTAGGAGGCTGGGATAGGAGGATTACAAGGTCAAAGCCAGCCCCAGCAATGTAGCAAGACCCTGTCTCAAAATGAATTTTAGAAATGGGCTGGGAATGTAGCTCAGTGGTTAAATGTCCCCTAGGTTCAATCTGGTACCAAAAAATACAAAAGCAAAAATTAAAGTTCTGTGATACTACTGTCTGTAATGATCTAGCAGGCTGATGAACTCTGTGATCCTTCAGGCTCTTCTAATATTTTCCCAGGGTATGTGACCCTCAGAAGCACAAGGTTCTGGAAGGCAAGGGTTAGGAATCTGCTGTTGTTCAAGACTCTCAATAATTCTTATGCTCACTAAAATGTGGAAAACACTGTAGTTAAGTCTTGCCTAAGTATATCTGCTTTTCTAATATATTTTGAAGAATGCAACTTTGCGGGTACAGAGCCAGAGCTTCCTCTGAAGAGGTTCATCCACAGGAACAGAACAAAACCTTCCTGAGGCATCAGATTGCAGAAAATTGGTGTGCTCACTGTAGGGTAGAAATTTATTGTGTATGTGTGTGTGTGTGTGTGTGTGTGTGTGTATGTGTGTGTTTTAATCTCCCACCCCCCGTCATGATGACAACTGGGTTATCAAAAATTTATGTAGGCCGGCGCGATGGCGCACGCCTGTAATCCCAGCGAATCCGGAGGCTGAGGCAGAAGGCTCCCGAGTTCAAAGCCAGCCTCAGCAATTTAGCCAGGCCCTAAGCAACTCAGATCCTGTCTCTAAGTACAAAAAAAGGGCTGGGGATGTGGCTCCGGGGTTAAGTGGCCCTGAATTCAGTCCCCGGTACATTAATTAATTAATTCACGCGAGGGCAAGCCCAAGCCCGAAATGCCTGATTTCTGTCCAGGGCTAATCTGGTGGTCGTTCTCCCTTTCCCTTCCTCTTCTTTCTCCAACAATGCGTATTGCAAAAAGCCCAACCTGGTCCCCTCCCGTGCTGCAGTACCTGCTAGCAGCTTCTCCTTCAACCGATTCAGCAGCTCGGCTGAAGTGGGCCCTTTGGGCTTGTGCACGGCGAACACGCCGCTAAGGGACAGCAGCTTAGTAGCCAAAGCGGCCTTGAGGACCCTGGCTTCGCATCCGGTCCTAGCTGCGGCTGCAACCGCCATGGCTGCAGCCGTTGCTGCCGTGGTCGCCGCCGTTGTTGCGGCTGTTTCGGCACTTTCTGCAGTTTCAGGGGCTGGGTCTGTTTCTAAAGACGAAGACGACACCACGGCCGCCTCTGCAGCTGCCATACTTTGACTGCCCAGACCTGTTACCGGGAGGCGCATGTTGATGACGCAACAAGATTGCGCTCGACAGTCCTCTTTCCCCAGCCGTGCGAACGCGCGGGGCCGCAAGGGCCTGTGGGAGTTGTAGTTCACGGCTCCCCGCACCGGCCAAGGGTTCGCTGAGGCGCCCCTGGGTTCGTTTTTCTCTTAGAATCCTTTCTGCTTCTTACAAGAGGTTAGTTGCGTGCCGCAGAGGTTATTTTCAGTTGCAGTCCTAAAGTACCAAAACCCAAATTTTAAATCTATGTTTTAGATGGAGGAACCTCTCCGTATCCCACCTGCACACCCTCGCCGGAACTAAAAGCATCCCACATCAAAGAATAGAAAACCTGATGACCTTTGATGCAGCTTGTCAGGGTCTACGGCCTCCTAGGCTCACTGTTTCGTCCGATTTGCAATCAAGGTTTCGAATTAAAATACACCTATTGTAAGCCCAGTTAGAGTCAGGAACCTGTGCCTGGCTGTATCTCTATTGTCTCATGCCTAGTAGGAGCTTAAATAAATATTTGGAAATTAATAAGTGAATTGAATTCAACCCCACAAAGAAACTTATAGGCCGAGCCAATGGCAAATCATTCTGGCCTATTTTGGTACCCCGCTTCTCCGTCTCCCCCACCTCACCATTTCTTAACAATTTGAAGAGTTTCCGTACTAATTCTTCGCTATGCTGCATTCTTTAGTACATTGTTAGGATGTGAAAAGCATTATTGAAATTCACAAAATTAAACTACATTCAATTTGAGAAATTCAAAGTTAATTCAATTCAAAGTTACCCAATAAAATTCAAAGAGTATTATTCTGATGCTAGCACAGGCGAAATGGAGACAGACTCTTGCATTTTATTTCCGCTCCACACACTCACTAAATGCTGTACTGAATGTGGTGAGACAAATAAGTTTGTCTTCATTGTTTTCAACATTTTCTTACAGCCACTTTTTCATCACCCTCTTGGACCTTAGTATTTAGTATCCTAATGATGTCTCTTAGCTGTTCAGAATCACCAGTTAGGGGATCCCATGTGAATTTGCTGCCATTCATGCAACGAGTACATGTCACAACAATTATTTTAAATGTAATATTTCTTTCTATATTTTCACCCTTCCCCGTTTCAACTAAAATATGAAATTCTAATTGAATCTTTATCTGGAAAATACAAAAATGCAAATGTACTTTAATGCCACATTTAAAATGGTGAAAGTAGCAAATTATGTGCGTATATAGTATATATTTTACCACAATTTTTAGAAAGGCAAAAAAAAAAAATCTTTGAGGAAGTTTTTATAGGGTGGAAAGCTGCAACTCCTAGAAGGAAGCCTGGTATACTTGTGACCTATTTCAAAGCCTAAGCAATCTGAAAGATGAACATGTCACATGATTAGCGGATATCTGCACCTGCATCAAGATTTTCTCCATTCCAGAATGTGACAGGACATAGAAGGGATGGATGACTGCACCCTGGGAAGCAAGGGATATTTTGTCTCAGCCAAGATTTATGTGTTCTCCTCTTAGCTTGGAAGCAAAGAACCAGGGACTTTCATACAAGGTTTCTGGGTTAAACGATTATTTGGAGATTTGAAACACAGCCTTTCCCAATTGTCCAGACATCAGTAAGCTTCTCTAATTCTATGTGACTCTGGGGTGGGATGTGAAGGGAGGGCAGAACCAGGGGAGACAAATAATGCTTAATTAAATTTGAATCTTCTACCAGCCCAAAGCAGAGTCTGAGTTAATTTGATTTAAAGAAAAAGAAATGGATTTTTTTCCCCATTTGATTTCTTGGATGCTAGGGCAAAATAAAATTAATTCTGCTCTGATAATCAAATACGTATTGTTGGCATCAGAAGCTCCAAGCTCTAATTTTTTGAGGTAACCGACATTTCTCACATAGGGCAAGCCTTAAATGCAACGGCCTTTTTACTTGATGCATACAAGTTGGGATTCTTTTGTTAGAAGCAACAGAAACCAATTCATACCAGCTTGGAAGGAGGTGGGAGGATTGATCAGAAATACACTAGAATACTACTCAGAACCTGAGAAGTTTCCCTGTCTCCCCCACCTCCACCTTTTTTGCTACACTCTTGTGTTTTCTTCTTTCTTCTCTGTTGCTTCTAATAGCTTTTCCTCTAATCCTCATTCCACATTGTTGGGTAAAACCGTCCTGTTTTGATCCGCTTCCCAAAGTGTTCTGAATGAGGTTGCTACTGGCCACCTGTAGAACATCCCTCTGCATAACACTTTCCCATTCACCTTCCTGCTTTTTCTCCACAGTACCTCATCTGAAACACTACATATTTTACTCATTTTGTTTTATGTCTGATTCCATCTACCAGAATATAAGCTCCATGAGAACAAGAATGTTCATTAATTGCAGAATCTCCAGGGCCCGAAATAGCAGCAGATATAGCACTTAATGAGTATTTGTTAAGTAAAGTAAATGAGAGTCCCCAGAGAAATCTCCATAAAGGGTTTAGTTCCAGTTCCCAATAAAAGTGGAGTGCTGAACACATAAAATAATAGTTGTGTGTAATATACGAAATTTACCACACTTGGCTTCAAATGCCTTAATCTCATATGTATGGCAAAGAAAATAAAATTACTCAATGCCTGTGTAACAAGACTCCAACTTTCTAAATCATCTTCCTTCCTCAGCCACCCATGTGCCACTAAAGATTGTTCACCAATAAGACTCAAACATCAGCAAGAGTCAAATCTACAGCTGCATTCCCAGAACACTTCTCTGCTCCCTGACGTAGGCATGTATCACTGGAAAAGCTGTTTTTCACAGGATCTTCTCCAAATTTTGTTCACCCATGGAACTTCCTATAGATGGTAGAATCAGTAGTACATGATAAGAATTTTGAGCTCCAAGCTCTAATTTCTTGAGATATATATAGTTCATATATAGTTCAAGGCACAAAAAGGTATTCCTGATATCCAAGAAGAGAAAACTGAGGATGCTCAAGCCTGTGCCATAAACTTGAGAAAACCATAGTTTTTAAAAAGTTCAGAGAAAAGATAGATCCGTGTTCTATCTGTCCATAAAATTTGGAAGAGCTAGAAAATTGAAATGAATCCCAATAGAGAAGAAAATGGTAAGGTAACTAAAGAAATTAGTGGTTGGTTGCACAAGGAATTCGGTGCCATTGAAATGAATCTCAATAGAGAAGAAAATGGTAAGGTAACTAAAGAAATTAGTGATTGGTTGCACAAGGAATTCTGCTATGAGTTGAGGGGTCTAAAAGAAACACACTTCAGAACCTTCAGGGTGAGTGTCTAGAAAGTTTAACTTTTTAAAATATAAATATCTGTAATGTTTTGGTTTTGACCCTACATGTCTTTTGTAATTAAGAAAAATAGTAGCAATAAAGTAAAACTTAAATGCAAAGAACATTTTTGGTTTTGTTTTTTAAAAAGAAGGAACATAGATGATAAAATACTAATACCAGAAATCATCACAAAACCGCAGGAGGTCAGAAAAACCAACATCCAAATGACTTGGAAATGGAGAAAAAATCCAGGTATATTAAAAGAAAACAAAAATAATCTGTTTAAAAAAAGATCAAGAAAGAGATTTATTGCTTAAGGCTAGTAAGATCAAGGAAATGAATGAGAAAGATGAAGCAAAACTATGATTGGTCTGTCTTCTCTATCAAGGAGAATACTTCTGGGGATGGAAATGGAAAAAGCAAAGAATTGGAGGAGAGTAATGTCCATGAGGGTGACAAGGAAGAGGCTCTCCCTGTGCTACTGGAGGTTAGATCTCCTGGTCTAGAAAATTCTGTCTTGAGGTGGGGGCATATGAAAACTTGCAAAAGAGATAGCTCAAGGGAACAAACTTTTGTTGAATATATGGTATGCACTCACACTTAACATTGGCCTGGAAGTTCTAGAGTAAATCTCAAGTTATGTTTGTGGAGACTCTGGAGTATAATGGGTGCCAAAACTTTACCACAAGGTAGGCGGTAGTATTATTATTATGATTATTATTATTATTTAATTAAAAAAAAGAAATGACACTTAATGAAATTAGATAATTTGACCAAGGGCATAGAGTTTGTGGATATGTTGGGAGTCCCCAAGACCAACTTCAGGCTGGATTCACTAAAAAGACTCAACATGCAGAAAAGCTGCAATACTCATTGTTGAAGTTTATAATGGTGAACGATTAAAATTAACAAACGGAAAAGTATGTGGAATGAAACCAGGCACTAGCATCCAGTTTCTTCTCCTAGTGGAGTTGTATATATGGAGCTTGATTCTCGTAACACTGAAGTGTGACAACATGTATGAAGTGTTGCCAATCAGGGAAATTCATCTGAGCCTTGGTTTTTATTGGGGATTAGTGCCTGCGTGACTAATCCTACTTGGCTATTCAATCTCTGGCTCCACAGGTTAAACTGATGCAGTCTAGAATAGGTGCCTAATAATTTAGTACATTCTTATCAGGCAGGATATTCCCTGGGTTCAGAAGTTGTCTCAGAGTCAGTCTTTTCTTTGGAATGTGCAGGGATCAAGTTTCCCAAATTTGCTGGGTTAACTTTTTATAGCACAGCAAACAATCTGGTACTGGAAATCCAAGACTTACTCCAAATTTTCCAGAGCCTGCAATAACCGCTGCCAAAGATCTTGGAGGTATTATGGAGAATTTACTTCGGGAGTAAGTCCAGAGGACACCATTTTGCTAAATATTATTTCAATTTTCAAAAGTATTGAAGGCAGATTTAGCAATTTGCATATAAGAAACCTGGGTAGGAGTCTAGAATAGGTGGTTAATAAGTTAGTTGTATAAAAAGGAGGTTGTGATTATATAAAGTCAGAATGGGCTTATTAATTCAACAAACATTTAACAAGGCTCTACTCTGTGGAAAGCATCGAAAATTCAGCAGTAAGTAAACAATCTCAGTTTGTGCTCTTGTAGAGCAGACGTGCCTTGAGTTTCTGTATGCCAGAGGTAAGTAACAGGCAAACTTCCTACCCTCA